ACAGGTGACGAGTACCAGACAGGATAACACTGCAAGTGGTCGATAACCAGACAGGATAACACTGCAAGTGAACGATAACCAGACAGGATAACACTGCAAATGGTCGATAACCAGACAGGATAACACTGCAAGCGATCGATAACCCGACAGGATAACACTGCAAGTGGTCGATAACCAGACAGGATAACACTGTAAGTGGTCGATAACCAGACAGAATAACACTGCAAGTGGGCGATAACCAGACAGGATAACACTGCAAGTGGGCGATAACCAGACAGGATAACACTGCAAGTGGGCGATAACCAGACAGGATAACACTGCAAGTGGGACACATAAACACATGTCTGACAAACATCATTGCGTCCGTGGCTGACTGATATCTTGTGAGGGAAATTAGACTCTACAATGTGTATCGAACCCTGTGCTTAACCTAAGAAGCCAGGCAGCCAAGGAACTTGCACGTCTTGTGTGCATCTGATGCCTGCTTGGCAGCAGTGACTGCTTGGCAGCAGTGACTGCTTGGCAGCAGTGACTGCTAAACTTTACATGAAGCACAAATTCACTGCCATCTTGAGTATGCCGGTCGGCCGAGCGGACAGCACGCTGGACTTGTGATCCTGTGGTCCCGGGTTCGATCCCAGACGTCGGCGAGAAACATGGGCAGAGTTTCTTTCACCCTATGCCCCTGTTACCTAGCAGTAAAATAGGTACCTGGGTGTTAGTCAGCTGTCACGGGCTGCTTCCTGGGGGTGGAGGCCTGGTCGAGGACCGGGCCGCGGGGACATTAAAGCCCCGAAATCATGTCAAGATATGCCTCATCTCCTGGATGGCCAATCTCCGTCACTTATTCCAACTATGGACGAAGTAGAGAACCACACAAGACTCATCCTTAGTAATGACCCGTGACGGGTGAAATGGTCAATATATCCAAACCATCAACACTGGCGAAGTTGTTGGTGGAGTAACTGTCATATAACAACCACAACATGGCGGCCACAACACAAGACGCTCAGCCACAAACAGCCTCGTGCTGGGTGCACCATTGTCAAGAGCACCACTTCCTTAGTGGTCCCCCTAGAGTGAGTCTCGTGGGCACCAGCTTCCTCAACACGTCAGAAGTAGTGACTCTAGTACACACACACACACATGGCTCCTGGCTCATCCTGTTATCCCTTACATCATAATTAGTTAACATTACATTTAATATATTCGTAATGTCTACAGATAATAATAATCTCATCACATTATCTTGGGTCAGGCTTCAGCTGAGTTGATGTAGGATAACAGCTCCTAGGATAACAGCTCCTAGGATAACAGCTCCTAGGATAACAGCTCCTAGGATAACAGCTCCTAGGATAACAGGTCCTAGGATAACAGGTCCTAGGATAACAGCTCCTAGGATAACAGCTCCTAGGATAACAGCTTGTTGTTTCACCAGGAACATCAGCACTATTTCTTGTGAACCTTCGACTTGCTTTATCTAGACAAACAAAAATATAAAACAAATGAGAGAGAGAGAGAGAGAGAGAGAGAGAGAGAGAGAGAGAGAGAGAGAGAGAGAGAGACAGAGAGAGAGAGAGAGAGCAGAGAGAGAGAGAGGAGAGAGAGAGAGACAGAGAGAGAGAGAGATGAGAGAGAGAGAGAGAGAGAGAGAGAGAGAGAGAGAGAGAGAGAGAGAGAGGAGATAGAGGAGAACGAGAGAGACAGAGAGAGAGAGAGCAAGAGAGAGGAGAAGACAGAGAGAGAGGAGAGAGAAGAGAGAGAGAGAGAGAGAGAGAGAGAGAGAGGAGAGAGAGAGAGAGGAGAGAGAGAGAGAGAGAGAGAGAGGAGAGAGAGAGAGACAGAGAGAGAGAGTGAGAGAGAGGAGAGAGGAGAGGAGAGGAAGGGAGAGAGAGAGAGAGAGGAGAGAGAGAGAGGAGAGAGGAGAGGGATCGAGAGAGAGGGGAGAGAGAGAGAGATAGAGAGAGAGAGAGAGAGAGGAGGTAAGAGAGAGAGAGGAAGGAGAGAGATGAGAGAGAGAGAGAGAGAGAGAGATAGGAGAGGGAGGAGAGAGAGAAGGAGAAGAGAGAGCCAGAGAACAGAGACAGAGAGAGAAAAGAAGACAGAGAGAGAGGGAGAGAGAGAGGAGGAGAGAGAGAGAAAGAGGAGGGAGAGGAGCGAGTGGAGAGAGAGAGAGAGAAGCGAGAGAGAGACAGAGATACAGAGATAGAGAGAGAGAGAGAGGAGCGAGAGAGAGAGAGAGAGAGAGAGAGAGAGAAGAGAGAGAGAGAGAGACAGAGAGCAGAAGACAGAGAGAGAGAGAGAGAGAGAGACACAGAGAGAGAGAGAGAGATAGAGATAGGGAGGGGGGGAGAGAGAGAAGAGATAGAGAGAGGGGAGAGAGGCTAGAGATAGGAGAGAGAGAGAAGAAAAACAAAGAAAAAAAAAGGAAGAGGGAGGAAAAAAGGGAGGAGAAGAGGGAGAAAAGGAGAGAGAAAAAGAAAAAAAGAAAAAAAAAAAA